TACTACAAGAATAAACGAGCTGTTCACCGGGAAGCCATCAAGGCAAGCAATCAAGTTCCTTTAGGACTAACCCCCCTCTAAGATTGAAACTCAAAGGGAACACATGAGCAGACATGTAAACTTGCTGGTGCCTATGCTGGTCTACTGGTGAGTGGAAGAAGGGGAAAGGCAGCAATGAAGAAATGGGCTGAGTTCAGCCATGTTCCAAAAACTCCCGTGGACCTGGAGATGAGAAAGAGAAGAGGAAGGGCTGATTGGTCCAAAGTGTGGTGAGACCTGGGAACACCTGAGCCTATAGACAAGAACATAGCCACAGAGGGCTAGAGGTGAGAGTGAAGTATCCAGCTGATATGGATAGGGATGGGCAACTTAAGACACTGGCTACCTAAAATGAGGGGGTGATAAAGGCACAAAGTGACTTGCTTACAAGGTTTCAAGGGGAAGCTTAGTTTAATAGTGTGTTAGGAAAAAAAGAGTCCCTAATGAATAGTTTTCATCTTGTCTAGATGGGTCTGGTTAAAAGAGATGGGGTAAAATTGTTATGATTCAATAATGAGTAATTGTTATTATGACTCTCTGTAAAGGTAGACGTTTTGTAACAAAAACAGGGGAGTGGTTAATCTTATAGTCCAGAAACAAAGGACCCTAGGACCATCAAGGGAGAAGAGCAGAAGCAGAATGAGAGACCTTATACAGAGAAGCAGCGACATCAGAGATGGAGGCAGAGATAGGGACATGGAGAGAGAGAGCAGCTGAGGACTCTAGATTTATGGGAAGTGAGGGACTAAGAGATGGCGGTCAGGAGGCAAGTTTGCAGGATGTGCCCTTTGGTGATGTCAATTATTATATATGTCTGAGTGTTTTTAAAAAAATAAAAAAAAAGCTAAAGTGAATAGAGAGAAACACTGTTAACTGATGGTACATGGAGGGGATTATAATCATTGTAATGAAAGAACATGTATGATTTGTTGAATATAAAATTGATGATCAGCCCTGTAAACTTTTACTCAATTCATAATAAAAACCTTAAAAACAAACAAACAAACAAAAAGAGCCAATATATAACCTTGAACGTATCTCACTTAAATTTAGAGACCATCCCAAGTACAGATTTGATGCATTAGTCAGTAATGTCAAGAGACCAGAAAAGTAGCCCAACAAAGCATGACGGGAAAGTTATGTGTTGTCCAATATGTACCCATGAGCACATGTGTTAATGTGGCTAGTGAGACTGAGGAACTAGATTTTCAATTAATTTGAATTAATTTTACATTTAAAGAGGTCTTATTAATGTTTAACTCAGGTTTTTCTCCTTTAGACCACAGTCCTCGACCCAATGAGCACAAAACCCTCCCCTGATAGTCCCTAGACTCTTCCTTAAGGCAGAGCTAACTTGTATGTCTGCTCAGAAACTCTTTACTTGATTCATATGTAGCAAGTCTTATGGTACCATGAGAGATGAAGGACTTGGTTGTCAGGGCAACCAGGAACAGTATTGCTGCCAGCCCAGTCTTCAGTGGCTGTGGTCTTGCCTCACTCTATGAGTGGTGTCAAACATATAAATTCACCAGTTCTTTTTTAAGGTCTGGCTAACTTACAAAGTTCCTAATGAAAGTGTGACTCCCAGTATCCCAGATAACCTTTTCAATTCCCCGTCATAAGTCTTCTCTGACCTTGCCATCTGTATTGTTCATGTATCACCAGCAACAATAATACTGATAACTGATATTTATTGAATATTTCAGGCAATTTTCTATGCACATATTCTGTAAGAAGTCACTTAATCTTCCCAAGAACCCTATGAAATAGATCCTGTTGCCATTCCTACTTCCCAGGAGGAAAATCAGGCACAGAAAGAGAAGCCATTTGTCAAAGGTCACACAAGCTTGCAGTGGAGCCAGGGTATGTAAGTTATGTTGATTATCTTAAGTACGACATCCATCAGCATTAAGCTTAAATGAGTCTCTTTCATAGTTCTTCCATCGTATTTTCTGAAGCCAAATGTTGTGACAGTTCAAAGCTAAAACCACTGCACCCAGAAAACAAAGACAAGTGCACCCCAGAGTATTCCAGAGTTAGATCTAATAATGGTTTAGTGACTCAAGTCCTGCAAAGCTGAACAAATGGAAAACTGGGATAGAATCAAAGTCACTGAAAGTAAAAGCAACAGTGCTGGTTTTTGGCCAGTTCCATTCTGTTCCTGCCCTCTGGACATATTTCCGCATGAGCCCTATGGACCCTGCCCTCACAGTCCCTCCTGAGTTATACCCAGTTATGCAAATGAGTCTTCACTTAGTAGCTCTGATTTATAGAAACACTCCAGGATTGGGCCTCCTGACAGTGTCCACAGAGCACACTGCTCATCCATTTACTCATTCATTCACAAGGATGCCACACACATTTTCTGAAGTTTACTGTTTGCCAGGCCCTGAAGATAAAATGGTTAACAGATATGACCTCTTGAGGGTAAAGTCAAGTTACAGAGACAAATATTAATCCAATTCTCATGCTGTCAAATGTGAAGCTGCAACAAAGACAATAAGAGTGTATACAGGATAACTGGTTGGAATACCTTAAAGGGGGCTAGAAGTTGCCCAGTGAAAGAGGCTTCCCGTGGAGCCTTTGCATTGCATAAGACCATAGGTGGAATCCTGAACCCCATCCAGAATCATCTGAGGTGGGAAATTTCCACTTGAAAGGACAAGTACACCCACCTGGAGTGGCTAGAAGAACAGAAGATACTTTTTGAAAGAAAGACCAGCAGGAAAAATAAAATAAAATAAAGTAACGGCAGTCTGATTGACTACTACAAGAAGCAAGTTGTTCTCCCAGGAGCCATCAAGGCAAGTGGTCAGGTCCCCTCAGAGCAAACCCCCTTCCAAGACTAAGATTCAAGGGGAATACATGAGCAGGCATGTGGTCTGGCTAGTGACCATGTTGGTCACCGATAAGGGGAAGTTGAGGAAAAACCGCAATGAAGTTGTGAGCTAAGTCTGACCACATTCAATAGACTCCTGGTTGAGACCTGGGGACTGACTCCTGGGCCCAGAGGCAGTGACATGGCCACAGAAGAATAGAGTGGAGAGTGAAGCGTCCAGCTGATATGAAGTGAGGGGAGATGCACAAGAACACCCATACTTGCAGAGAGTACCCACTTGACCTGACTTCAATGGCTGGAGGATCAGAACTTGACTAGAAGAAAGAAGAGGGGAAAAAAGAGTAATCCACTACAATTTGATGAATGGATGTAGTAGCTCAAAAGAGGGAACAAATCTTTACAGCGAGGATCATTCCCACCCCCCTCAGTACACAGGGTCGACAGGGATGGGCAACTTAGACATTGGCTACCCAAAAGGCAAGAAGTGACTGGCTTATACGCTCTCAAGAGGGAGCCTAGTTCTAGAGGGGGCCGGGGAAGGTAGACTCTCCACTGAGTGGTTTCCAATCTGTTGGGACGGGGTTGATGAAAGGTAATGGGGATAAGACTTTTGTGGTATAATAGTGAATAATTGCTATCAGGACTGACTGTGAGGGTCAGAAATGTAAAGGTAGATGTTTTGTAACAAAAGGAGGGGAGTGGTTGATTTTGCAGTTCAGGAGCAGAGGTCCCTGGGACCATCAAGTGAGAAGAATTGAGGTTGGGACCCTACCCAGAGAAGCAGTGACACCGGAAATGGAGGCAGAGACGATGGCATGCAGAGATGAAGTGGCAGGGGACTCTGGACTCAGGAAGGGAGACGGGCTGTGTGCTGACAACCACGGGGCAGGCTTGCAGGGTATACCCTTTGGTTGGTTGATGATGCATGGAGGGGATTGTAATCATTGCAATGAAACGAAATACGCTAGGATGTATGAAAAGCTAATGTTCTCCCATGTAAACTATTACATAATTCACAATAAAAACTTAAAAAAAGAGTGTGTATAGGAGGTTGTTTAAGTAGGTCAGAGAGGGCTTCCCTGAATACGTGATGTGGGAGCTGAGACCTGAAAGATGTGCAGGGGTTAACATGACGAAGAATGGGAGGACTATGTGGGAGGGACTACGTGGAGGTCAGCAGTAACAAAGATGCTGAGTGGGATGTGGAGGCCAGACCATGCAGCCACATTTAGGAATCTGATCTTGACCCTAAGATCATGAGGGTCTTAAGCAGGGGGCATTTGGACAGATGGGAGTTTTGAAAAGATCTTCTGGCTTTGAGTGGATAGTGGAGTCTGGTGATAGTGGTGGTTGGCTAGGAACCTGGGAAGTGGGGGAGATGAACTCTCCTATATATGCAGCTTAGGGGAGCCTCTGCCCCCTCAGGAATTACAGCCCGCATATTAAAATCCATCCCACTTTGTTTAAACTGCTTCTGGTGCTAAGTTCAGAGAGCAAACATCCATGCAGGATCTCCTGTGAGCCTGGCTCTTGGAGACCCAGGCGCTCTGCTACACCAAATTCCCAGAGGGCTAAATCTGAGTTACACAGATGGGAGATTTGCAATGAAAACAGTGAAGGTTACCTGGTCATTCAGGGGGATCCCTTTGCTCATCTTCCTCCGGTTTTCCTCAGGGTGATAGTCATCTGCATCATAGAATTTCCATCCCAGCTTCAAGAAAAAGTTAGAAGGTGTTGTTGCAGGTAGTGTGTTCTGTGTGACAGTCACCATGTAGCTGCTAACACTTGTGGAGCAGGTGCAGAAACAGGATTCCTGCCAACACCACCACCTTCTTCCCACGGCTAGCCCTGGCCACAACCCCACACAGAGCCAGGAGGGAAGAGGTCCATAATGTCACTGAACTATTCCATTTCCTGTTTTCATTCATCACTATTCGTCATTACCACGTAGAAAGACAAAGTTGCATCAGTGGGGTTCAACCACCATGTGGACATGTCTGTGGCCAACTGGTATGTTTTATAAACCACTACCAGTCCTGGGGTGCTGCTGTAGGATCAGCACTGGACTGCCAACTACAAGATCGGTGGTTCAAACGCAGAAGCTACTCCTTGGAAATACTATACAAGGTCAGTAAGAGTCAGAATTGACTCAACAGCACTTAACAACAACAATAATGAGTCAGAAGGTCCCTGGGTGATGCAAACAGTTTGAACCCATCCACAAGTGCAGCAGGAAAAAGGCCTGGTGATCTGCTTCTGTAAAGATTTGTTGTTGAGGAGCAGCTGGTGAGCTTGAACTGCTGACCTTACATTTCAAACGGCTTTGCAGTCTGGCGTATTAACCCACAGCGCCATACCAGGACTCCTCTGTAAAGATTACAACCAAGAAAACTCGCCACTGAGCACTTCTGCTTTGTAAGGCATGGGGTAGCTCTGAGTTAGAATCAACTCCGTAACAATGGATAGCTTTTTTGTTTGTTTGCTGGCCAGGAGAAAGGAAGGGGCAGAAGGAGAGAAGCAGTGGAGACCAGACCCATGGGGACCATACAATTGGGAGACATTGAAACAGGTACCTCAGATGCCAGCAGAGTGCCCACAGTCGACCTGTGGAGAGGAAACAGATGTTCAAATTACTACCTTTTCCTAACGTGTGTGCAGTCCCTCAGACCCCCGGATGCCTGGTGAAATGATGGCTGGTGTAGGTGGTATGAAAAACCTCTAAAATATTTTGCTGTGGAAGCAATGATGCTTTTGATCCTGGATTCTAGACTTGCTGTACTGCTCTCCTGGAACTTAAGTGAACCATTCACCACTATTTTACTTTCCAAGAGACAATGTAAAAGATCTCATGATCTCCCTGAAGGTTTTTCTTCAATAATACTATTCTTTTTGAGCGAAATCCTAAATAAATAAAGTAACGAAATGATATTGTGGGTCCATTAATGTCTGCCATTGAGTTGATTGTGACTCATAGCAACGTTACAGGATGGGATTGAACTGCTCTATAAGGGTTTCCAAGACTCCAAATCTTTATGGGAGTAGACAGCCCCATCTTTTTCCCACGGAGCAGCTGGTGGGTTTTAGCTATCAACCTTGTGGTTAGAGGCCTAGCATTTAACCCACTGTGCCACCAACTGTGGAGTTGTTGTGGTTGTTAAGTGCCATTGAGGCAGTTCTGACCCATAGTGACCCTGTACAGGGTTTCCAAAGATTGGCTGCTGACCTTGTTCATAAAATCATTGAAATGTTGTTGGGAGTTTAAAAGAGACTCACTCTTAAAGAACATGGACAAATGAATCAAGAGTTACCAACACTTATTAAGATTGTTCAAGAATCCTGGTGTGCCACTTTACGTAGGGTAAGCACTGGATTGCTCACCATAAAGCAAGCGATTCAAATCTACCAGCCGCTTCTCGGAAACCCTATACAAGGCTGCTATAGTCAGAACCAGCTTGATGGCACTTAACAACAGCAACATTAATGTTGTCCTGGTGTAGCACTGTAGGATAAGTACTAGATTGCTAACCGCAAGGTCGGCAGTTCAAACCCATCAGCTGCTCCTTGGATACCCTACACAGGATCTCTATCAGTTGGAACTGGCTCCACGTACTTAACAACAACATTAAGGTTGTACAATCTGATAATATGCTCACACCTAACAGATGCATGTTCTAGTGAAAAGAGGTTGGGTCTCAGATCTGAACCACAACTAAATGACTGTTTACGTTTATCTCTAATCTTACAAAACAAGGGGCTGAACCACATGAGTCATTCATCACGTACGAATTTCACTGAGCACCTTCTAGTCCCAGGATCTAATGGTGAGTCCTTTCTTGCTCTCAATTTCTAAATGTTACTAAAATGTCAATCATTCAAGTACCACCATCATCACTGCTACTGCATCCTCATGCCATTTCATCACGCCCTCCCTCGTAAATTTTACATTCCATCTCAAAAATTATTTACTTGTTATTTTTATTAAATTACTTCACTTTCAAAATATTAATTATGTTAAAGAAAGAAACTTTCATTGCTTGCCATAGAAGCCATCCTCATTTAACTAAAGTAGGATACCAAAAAGATGCTTACAAAAGAGGAAATTGTCCCTTACATTCAGGTGTCGCAAGAGGAGACGATAAACATAGTAAGTAAACTGCTTATTTGGCATTACTTTACTTTAATGATGTTTTAATAGATAATTGTTCTCTTTTAATCCATCAATTGTTGTTGTTGTCAAATGTCTGTTGAGTCAGTTCTGATTCATAGTGACCCTGTATAGGGTTTCCAAGGTTGTACTTTGCAGGAGCAGAAAGTCCCATCTTTCTCCAGAAAAACGGCTGGTGGGTTTGAACCACCAATCTTGTGGTTCATAGGCCAGTGCTTATCCTACAGAGCCACCACTAGTGGTGGTGGTAGTGTGCCGTGGAGTCGATTCCGACTCACAGTGACTCTGTATACGGTTTCCGAGGCTATAAATCGTTACTGGAGCAGAAAGCCTCATCTTTCTCCCATGGGACAGCTAGTAGTTTCAAACTGTTGACCTTGAGGTTAGCAGACAGATTCATAACCACTATGCTACCAGAGCTCCTTAATCCATTAATTCATTAATTGTTGTTGTTACGTGCCATCTAGTCAGTATCTACTCATAGCGACCCCATGCACAGCAGAACGAAATACTGCCCGATCCTGGGCCAACCTCACTGTTGTTACCACGCTTGAGTCCATCGATACTGCCATTTGGCTAATCCATCTCATTGGGGGTCTTCCTCTTTTTCTCTGACCCTCCACCTTACCTTACCTTCTCCAGCGACTGGTACCTCCTGACAATATATCCAAAGTATGAGAAACAACATTTGGCCATCTTGGTCTCCAAGGAGCACTCTGGCTGCAGTTCTTCCAACATGGCTCTATTGGTTCTTTTGGCAGCCCATGGCACTTTCAGTATTCTCCTCCAACACCATAACTCAAAAGCATCAATTTTTCTACGGTCTTCCTTATTCACTGTCCAGCTTTCACATGCATATGAGGTTATTGAAAATACCATGGCTTGAGTCAGGTACACCTTAGTCCTCAAGCTGTGACATCTTTGCTCTTCAACACTTGTTGTTGTTGTTGTTAAGTGCCATTGAGTTGATTCTGACCCATAGCGACCCTGTATAGGGTTTCCGAGGAGTGACTGGTGAACTTGAACTGCCGACCTTGCAGTTCAAACAGCTTTGCAGTCTGGCGCATTAACCCATACATAGTGCCACACCAGGACTTAGGCTATGATAAATATTTTTTTCCAAATGGCATATGAAGTATAATAATAATAATAATAATAAATCTTGTGAAGTTGAACAAGGGACTATCAACTACAGCAAGGAATGCAATGCAAAGATCAATATAATGACTTCTCAGTAATTGTATTTCTCAGTCAATTAGCAGCATCCCTGTAGTCATTTTCTGGCCTCAGGGCTCTGACCTGGAGCAGCTTCCATACCTGCCCTCATGCCCTCAGTGCTCTCCAGTGTCATACCTTTAGGTCCACAGTCACAACTACAGGCCTTCTCCCCTGAACTCTGGAGTTGGAGATGCAACCACCCATTTTGAAAACCATTTTGGTGATGGATAAATCCAGTTTCCATCCAGTCTACTTTAAATCATGGTGACCCCATGTGTGTTGGAATAGAAGTGGGCTCCACAGCATTTTAAGTGGCTGATTTTTCAGAAGTAGATTGCCAGGTCTTTCTCCTGAGGCCCCTCAGGGTGGACTTGAACTTCCAACCTTTGAGTTAGCAACTGAACATGTTTCCTGTTTGCATCTCTCAAGGACTCTTTTTCTACGTATCCTCCTTTATTTTTCTCTAGAGTACCTGTCACCACCTGATACACTACATATGGATTTCTTCATTTACTGTCACCCATATGAGAATGCAGATTCCTGGTGTGGTGCTGTAGGATCAGCACTGGACTGCGAATCACAAAGTCGGCAGTTCAAACCTACCAGCTGCTTCTTAGAAATCCTATAGAGGGTTGCTATGAGTCTGAATTGACTTGAAGGCACTTAACAACAACGAGTACAACAAGTCAGAATTGACTTGATAGTAATTAATAACCACAAATACTAGAATATAAACTCTTTGGGGGCAGAGATTTCATCTGTCTTGTTTACAATGACCTAAAATCAGACAATAACCTACAATACAGCACTAACCCCACTGCCATCGAGTCAATGCCAACTCATAGCGACCCTACATAGGATTTTATTGGAGCAGAAAGTGTCATCTTTCTCCTATGGAGCAGCTGGTGGGTTTAGCAGTCCAGTGCTTATCCTACAGTGCCACAGGGGCTCTTTTACATAAGGTCTTTGCTCATTAAATATTTATCGAGTGCACTGAATATCCTATGCTACAAATTATGTGGTTTCAGGACTCCTAATCTGAACTTGGAGTCCTGGTGTAGTGCTGTGTGTTTAATGTGTCAGACTGCAAAGCCGTTTGAACTGCAAGTTTGGTGGTTCAAGGTCACCAGATGCTTCTTGGAAACTCTTTACAGTGTTGCTATGGGTTGGAAATCATCGGACAGTCTCTTTGATGTTCCATGCGAGTAAAGTTTTGGTAAAGGTAATACAGAAATGACTACAAGCATACATTGACAGAGAACTTCCAGAGGTTCAAGCTGGATTCAGAAGAGGCTGTGGAATGAGGGAAATCATTGCTGACGTCTGATGGATCTTGCTGAAAGCAGAGAATATCAGAAAGATGTTTACCTATGCTTTATTGACTATGCAAAGGTTTATGATTGTGTGGATCATGACAA